GCCAAACGCGCGGACAGCGGCTGCTGTGCCCCTGCATGTGTGTCCGGGCGGCTGGGAAGGGACGACCCAGCTATTTGCATCAGAGTCAGGAAGTTGATCTGTTGCAGCTGCAAGAAAATAAAAATCAAAGACACATCTGAGAATATAATGGGAAAAACATGAAGAACCAACAACGACCAGCTGCCTTCGCCACCACAGGCGCCCCTCTGTCGTCCTTCGCGTCTGCGAGACCCAGCAACGCTGAGCGGGAAGCGCAGCTGGGAGGCTGTTAGTAAAAAGGAAAAGACTGGCTTCCTGTCCTCACGGAGCTGCCCCTGGGAGGACCCGTGAGGCAGTTTGCGTTAAGTACCCCAGCGATCCCAGAGGAGGGTCTAATGGGAGGGAGGTGTTCACAGAGAATTCAAAGATGGGTGTGTGCCGGGGGCTCCTCACACGGGCACCACCTTGCCGTGTGGCCAGCAGCCCCTGAACACAGATGAACAGACGACTCCGGCACAGCTCCACTGCGAAAGAGAAGGCTAAGGGGCAGCTTGGCTGACAGCAACCAGACCTCCTCGACTGCCTGCCTCGTTGGGCTTTTATTGCAGTTTTTTTTTTTTTCATATATTTTTTTTTATTGACTTTTTACAGAGAGGAAAGGAGAGAGATAGAGATAGTTAGAAACATCGATGAGAGAGAAACATTGACCATCTGCCTCCTGCACATCCCCCACCGGGGAAGTGTGCGCAACCCAGGTACATGCCCTTGACCGGAATCGAACTTGGGACCTTTCAGTCCGCAGGCCGACGCTCTATCCACTGAGCCAAACCGGTTTCGGCTGCAGTTTTTATCTGTAGATACAACCGGAGGAGTACTCTTGGGAGGACACGTGTCCGCTAGGCGAGGGCATCCAGGAATCAGGTATAAGGATTACAGTAAGCACCCGGGGTCTGCACGTGCAAAGACTTGTTTGGAAAGGTCAAGGAGTCACTAGGGGCACCGCCTTCGACACTCCCCTCAGCCTCCCCCAAGTCAGAACTCCCATAAACAGGGCAGGCGGCCTTGCACACACTTCCTTTTTCTCAGAATGTCCTCCTCACAACCAAGGTGTGTGGGCGGGCTTTCAGGAAAGAAAGCAGCAGAGATTGGCAGACGGGTGAGGAAGGACTGGCTGGGTCAAGTGCAAGTACGCACGCCCGGCTGACGCCTGCGCAGCATTCAGTCCCCATGGGAGGTGATGCCTGGGGACGGCAGCCAGGATGACATGTTTACGGGGACCAGGTGGCTTTTTCCGCCTGGCCCAGCAGGGTGCCCTGCAGAGAGGAGCAGCGGGAACAAGGGCCGTTCTGCCATTTCCGAGGTCGTGACCAGAGAACACCATCAGCATCAACAGGCGCATCACGGAGTGGGTGTCAAGAAGCAGCCCCCGGGCACCCAGAGGTCCAGGGATTTGCCAGGTAGGAGATGGGACCCAGACGTGCGCACTGACACCGGCTCAACAAACAGTCTGGGCCAGGAATAGGGACTGTCCCACAGCCCGGGGTGCTTGTCCAGAAACGTAACGAGGATGAAGATTCGCCAAACAAGCTCTAGACCAGCCGTGGGCAAACTATGGCCCGCGGGTCGGATCCGGCCCGTTCGGCTGTTCTATCCGGCCCGCGGAGCCGAAAGGGCGGAGGGTTCTCTTGCTCTCCCCTCCGCTCCTTCACCAGCAGCAGTGGTAACATGGCAACATCAGGAAACACGGCCGCAGCTCCTTCTTCTGAGTCCAGTTTAAGAACCTGCTGTGGCCCTCGAGTCAAAAAGTTTGCCCACGGCTGCTCTAGACGCTGGTCACCTACGTACCTGTCACCACTTCCAAAAAGAGAAGGAAGGCAGGTGGCTGACAGTGATTCTTAACCTTTGCGAGAAGCCAAATTATTTGCAGAATTGGTGAAATACACAGGGCAGTGACCAGCAAAGGCCCTGTGCCATCCAAGAAACAAGTTTGAGAAACGCTTCTAGAACGTTAAGCTGTCAAAACAGGTTATAAAAAGGAAAAGGACTGGGGAGAATAAAAATAAAATCAGTTTCAACAGTGGGACAGGCAGAAAAGTATTCTCATCAGGCCCGTAAGTTCAAAGACATCAAGAATCACCAATGAAAACGGTGTATCGCATCCCATGAGTGGAGAACTGAGGGAAACGAGTACCTAAGGTACAAAGCGGGAAAGGAAAGTAATTTTAAACGTCGGTAGACAGAGAGGAGGATGACCAGGTGAGAACAAGACGCTGCAGGTCAAAGGGAAAGTATTCTGACCTGCAGCCGGCAACTTCCAAGCAAGCCCCGGCCGGGTGTGGCCCACCTAGGCGGTGGCAGGCGGTGGCAGGCGGTGGCAGGGATGAGCTCAGGGCCCTCTGAGCATGAGTCTGCTGGGCGGGCTTAACCCCCGCCTCACTTTGTGGGCACCTCTGCGTCTCAAAACGCTCAGTAAAACCAGTCAGCCTCTAGGCCAGTGGTTCTCAACCTTCTAATGCCGCGACCCGTTACTACAGTTCCTCATGTTGTGGGGACCCCCAATTTCATTGTTACACATTGAACATAATTAAAGCATAGTGACTAATCACACAAACAATATGTAATTATATATGCCTTTTCCGATGGTCTTAGGCGACCCCTGTGAAAGGGTCGTTCGACCCCCAAAGGGGCTGCGACCCACAGGTTGAGAACCGCTGCTCTAGGCCCTAGAGATCTGGGCGTCGGAATGAGCACGTGCCCAAAGCAGAGAAGCCGGGCGATTCCATTCCAGCCGCCCCTCCTGGACGTGTGTCCACATGTGAGAACCTTACATGCATCACGTGTGGCCTCACGCGCGCCTGGCAGAGGTGCTCACCTGGACTAACTTGAACACCTCGTCCTGGAGCATCTGCCTAACAGAACCGGGAGAGTCTGGCCGCCGCGCCCGGGGCTGGCCGCGCAGGGCCGGCGGGGGGGTGGGCACCAGGGTTTGTGAAGCAACGCTGACTCCATTGGGCACCACGGGCGGATCTGGAGATGATTTCTCTTTACATGCAGGGGTCTGTGCACTGCGCGGGGAGCGTATGAACAGAAACCACACGTTAACCAATACAGCACATTACAAGGCTATGATCTGAGTATCTGGGTCCTACTCGTTTCTTCTACTTTAACAGCTTTCTCAGTTTTCAGGAAATTTAAACCCCCCAGCCTGAATCTCCGTACCCGTCGCATCTGGCACCACCAGACACACAGGTCGTCAGCGCTTTCACTAAGAGGCGCGTGCTGCACGGTCAGCCTGGTCCCCTGCCTGCGTGACAAGCCAGAGCAGTTCACACAAGTATCCTACTTGCCTGGTCCCTGTAGGCATGAGTTTGAAACCTGTGCAAGTCATTCTTTCCGCTGTACAAACTATGTAATTTGTTTTGAGAATATGTGTGTGTTTGTTTTTAACTACATTTAATGACCCAGGGTGGAGTTAAGAAAACAGGAAATGTGCCTGGCTGGCGTGGCTCAGCAGCTGAGCATCAACCATGCACCCAGAGGTCACTGGTTCAATTCCCGATGCCCAGGTTTCAGGCTCCATCCCAGTAGGGGGCATGCAGGAGGCAGCCAATCAATGCAG